AAGATTAATCAAGCACTCCAAGTTCTCCAGATGTACCAATCCGCTACATTTATTGCCAGAGATTAATTCTACCTGTTCAGAAAGTTCATCAACATCATCACAGAGCATGAAGCCTTTAAAAATCCACTTGTTTCAGTCTCTCTTTATGGAAATTCTATTAGTCAGGTATTAAAACTTCATGCAATCCTCCAATTTTTATATCTTTTCTAATTTCTATTGATCTTTTTCTTGTTTATTCTGTATTCTGGATTGATTTCATCTGTGATGATGAAGTCATTTTTAGAATTCCCATTTATTTTGTTAGCTCACAGTCTCTTGGTCTTCATTGCCCTCAGTGATTTGTAACACTTGAGTATGAGTTCTTGTCTGACTGAAACTGCTCTTCCTTGTGCCCTAGCCTGAGGAACATTCCCGGTGGATATTGTGTTTGTGTCTAAGCTCCCGCAGCTTTCACCCACCAGGCCAGTGCTTGTTTGATGTAAAGGGATCCCTGCACCTTGGAAGGAGGCTGGATTTGGATTGCACGCTGAAGCCTGGTTTCTGGGTGTGGGCTCAATCCCTCAGGGTGGACTTTTTTCTAACAGTACATTCCCATTGAAAGGGGAGGTTCCAGGTTCCTGCCCCACCCAAGGAAGGGTGGAGCTGAGCAGTGAGGAGAAGCTAGAAAAGACCAGAAGGACTTAGGAGGAGGAAGAAAACAACTTCCATAAGGCATGAGGAACAGAGACACATGTAAAGGAGAAGCTGTGTTTGCTTCTTGGCCTTGAACATCTACCAGGGACTTGGGAAACATGGAAGGAGACACTTGAAAGACACAGAGATGTGTGTGAGAGACCCATGGGGAAGCAGACAATGGCAGCCTTTATCTTAATGTTGATTTTGTACTTTTCCTTCTTCCAGACTTGCCTGGCCCCTTTGCTCTCATTTCCCATCAGAAGGTATGTGAGACTTGTGGTAAGCTTTTGGACTTCAGTGGTTCTGTTTTAGGCCAACCCTATTTGGCTGGGCATTTGCCAGGAGCGGGGTGGGTAACTGGGTGTTTCATGGGGAAGCTATTTTAATTATATTCTTTCTTTTCCCTTCTCTCTACTGCACATATTGTATTCAAGTTCCTTATTTAAGGTCCTATGCACTAGAGTATGTTTGTCTTTATGGCGGACCCATTTAGCACAGGGTTGGGGGTTCTGGAGTCCCCCTCATTTTGACTGCTAACATTTTCACATGCGATTTTAGGTGGATGTAAGACAAGTCCTTGCTGCTCCCCCAAGGAGCAGCTCTTTGTGACTGTTTCAAAACAATTAGCTTTAGTTACTTATAAGGTAACTATATAACAGTTTTGTATTTAAAAATAATTAAAGCAGACAGTTCAGATGATCTAAACTTCATGAAGCAGATAGGCACCATGCAGATAACTGGAAAATGTGGCTGAAGGCAGGAGTCTTTCATGGGATAAAAAATAAAGAATGAGAAAGAGAAAAATAGAAAATAACCGATTCGCTGGGACTACAGATTCAACCTTTTTTGAGGTGAGAAGGAACAAAGAAATAAGTATAGAGCCAGGAGTTAGCATGGCATTTGGGTATTGGTAGACTGAATATACTAACTCTGTTTCAATAAGCAGAGCATTCACAGGAACACACAAATTATCTAAGATTCAGTATGCTGATGTGGTACCCTTGCAGGATGGGCTCCATTTGGGCTGAGAAGTTTATTTCAACATCCGCCATATTTTCCATCCATTTTTAAATCTTATCCCTACATTCTTATTCCTTCTACTTAGCCAGTAGCCTTCAATGCAGTTCTCTTAAGCTTCCCTGAATCATTTCTCGTTGGAATTTGGTATGACAATGGCATTCCAACAATTAGAGGTGAGGGAATCCTAGAACTCTTGGTGATGTCCAGCCTCAAAATAAGCAAGGATACAAGGCTAAGCTAACAGTAATTAACTCCTAAGTATGAATAACTTAGAGGACTTAAGAATATTAATGATGCTGGTAAAATAAACTGACATGTATTGTATTATATTAACCTAAGTGTTTTGCATAGATGATATCACTTCAATTTAATTCTCCTATGAGTTAGGTACTATTATCTCCAGTTTACAGACCAGGAAACAGTGGCAAGCTTAGTGAAAATACCATTCTTAACATCATACAAATAGTGAAAGTAACAGACAGTGAAAAAAGGCAAGGAAAAAACTGGAGCTGCTTTGGGGGAATCTCAGCAGCAAAAGCTTATTTATTGTGCTACAATAATGCAATTCTGCCACAATGCCTTTAGTCTCTTCATCCCCAATTTCAAATCCCAAGAGAATACATCTAGTAGATCCAACTTTGTTCTGTTCCTGGTAAATTCATGAGTTATGAGCACCGAGCACAGTAATGGAATATAGATATTGGTTACCCCTGTGCATGAAAGGCACTGCCTAGAAATGCCACAGTGGGTATACATGGACAGCCAGACCAAGTGGTCCTTACTCCATGATCTAGTATGTAAGAAGTTATCATATGTTGTACATATATAATTTTCTGTTGAGACACAGTCTAAGAAGAAGAATCACCTTTATTAATCAAAACATACATGGTGTGAGTTTTATGATTTTTTCTTTCTCTGGAATGTGTAGGTATAGTGACTGAACTGGGAACCATCTATGATCTTATTTTCTGTAATGTTGAAAAAATTCCCAAAAGAAGCTCAGTTTACATGACATGATAGACTTCTATTTTTAACAGCATGCTATTTTAGGTATTCAGAATGAGCTCCCTGTGGAAAACAACAAAAAATGCTGGTTAAAAAAAAATCAAATACATTGATGAACAAGTAGAAATGAAGGAATTCACAGAGGGAAAGGAAGGTAAAAAAATAGATTATTTTGAGAAATAAGTGCAGGTCAAAGTGGACACATAAAACTCCTCCTCTGGTGGTTGTATAGCATGCCAGGGTCAGAAAATAAAGTCAAACAAGGAGTCTAATAGACAAAAATCAGAAGTCCCAAAAGGCTACATTCTCAGTGTAAGGGTGAATGAGAAATAAAACTGAAGCACAAATCAGTGAGGAAACAAGATGGTCTTGACCTTAGACCCCCAAAATGGAAGAAAAAAATCTCCTTTGAGAATCTGTACCAAACCATTTGGATTTGACTCCCAGTTGCAATATATCAGTACAATTCAATAAAACGCCAGTGGAAAATTTAATCTGGTCATAGGGTTGATGGTGCCTCCAAGCAACTTGCAGAAGCAATTCCTAATACTCTGTACAAAAACCCAATTTTAACTCTGGTCTCAAAGAGTCCTAGCAGTTACAACTCTAGCAACATCAGTGCAGAGTCCAAAATCACAATCCGCTAGGAAATAGGCATGATAAGTAACAGACAAGCACAAAGACCCATAGAATTTTCAGCATTGTATTTAACAGACTTGGAATATAGACTGCTTACTTTGTGTAAGAAATTAGAAAATGGAATTAAAAGGGAAGCAAATAGAATTCCTAAAATTGGAAAATATTAGAAAATTTTAAGATACACCATATAAAAGAAGGTTGAAGAGAAGTGGAGAATAAAGTGAGAACGTCTTTGAAATGTCTTCTATATGTTCTAAGAGATAATGGAGAACATGGAAAATGAACAACACTGAAAATAGTCAACAAATTTCTACAATTATTACAGTACAACATTCCTGAGATGGAGGAATCCTTTCAAATCCTAAGTATGGTTTTAAAACTTAGAAGGGAAGCAGACAGGGAGTGAGAGAAGGAACGCATTCAGATTCAGATTCATCACTGTGAATTTGCAAAAATTATTAGAAGTCTTACACGTAATCATAAAGGGAGAGGGAGGGTGGCAGGCAAAGAGGAAGGAAGACTAAAGGCACTAGGTTTTAGATAAAAGTACAGAAAATAAATTAATAATTCTCATTAGGAATGAGGTAAGTTTCCTTTGCGATTCATCAATATGACAGCTAAGTATCCTGCTTAAGAGCAGTGCAAGTCTTGAAAAACAAGAAAATGTAAAGGAGGGGGCAAGCAAGAGACACAAATGCAGAAAATGTTTCACCCCAACCTGAAAAATATAAATAGAACATTAAATTATGAACGAAAGACAGTTCTCTTTGAACAAAGGAAGTGAGTTAAGACAAGTGGAAAGTAACAGTAGCCAACATTTACCGAGCACAAACATGTTTAAGAAAACCTGAGCAGCGAAGGACTAAAAATATCATGGGAGACTATTTGCAGGGAGGAGTCAAAAGGTAGGAAAAGGACAACGCTCAGGACTGGACGTCTAATATCGACTTCCTAGGCACATGATACAATCATTGCAAACGCAGCTCTTTAGCTATTAAGTCTCCATCCGTTATTTCTGGTTGCTCTTTTTCGGGGGGAGGGCTGCTGGTGCGGGTGGTATGTATAGATCGCACACATTAGGGTGGCGAAGAGACGGACCGCACAGCCCAGAAAATATGTAAGAAGTCTATTTGCACACCTTTTAATACAGGACGTCTATATCCACCCCATATTTTTAATATACACTATTTTAATGACACGGCAGCCAACCAAACGTCAAACGTCCCATGTACATTTTCAGGCGTGGATACTGAGGCTAAATTCCCGCGGAGTTCGCTTTTAAACAATCCAAATTGCGCGAACTTTGCCGATTATTCTAGCGTTAGAACCTTTACCATCTGCCTAGCACTACTTGAGATCCATGACTCATAAACGCGGGGACATGGAATCACAGCGGCCAAGAACAGGTGAAAAGTTGGTCCTAGTTATGTCAAGCAGGCGCACACAACTCCCGTCATTCCCAGTGCAAAAATCAACAAATAAACAGAGGCACCGCATTTCAGATTCTGCTGCGCACCGTTCGCAAGGGCGCCCGGGCTTCGTAGTTTCCACGTGCAGCCCTGCCAGCGTGTCTCTCCTTCCCGCGGAGGAACTAAAACTACACTTCCCACAAGCGCGCGGGGCCGAGGGCCGGTGGGCTGACGTCATCGCCTCAGCCAGCCAATGACAGCTCCGGGCGGCAGTGAGGCAAGCGCCGTCAGGCGCCAAAGTGGTTTTTTTTTTTCTTTTCTTTTTTTTTTTTCCGCCGAAGCCGAGCGGGCGCTGCTAGCGGAGGCGCCATATTGGAAGGGACAAAACTCCGGCGACAGCGAGTGACACAAATAAACCCCTGGACCCCCTCGTCCCCGCAGCTCTAAGGGCCGCGATGTTGTACCTAGAGGACTATCTGGAAAGTGAGTGGGCGGCGCTGGCGGGGGCCGTCTGTGGGACCTCGGGCTGGCGAGAGCGCGAGTAGACGGGCGAGCGGGATGGCGGGAGGGAGGGGGAGGCGGGGGATGTTTCTTTCTCACGGTAACTGGCAGCCTCGCTGTGGGCTGCCGGCTCCCTCGACCCCCCCCGACGCACGCACGCACTCACGCACTCAGCGACGTCAGCGCGTACTGTCGCCGTTGGCCCCGCCCCTCTGACGAAATCTCCCTTTGACAGTGATTGAGCAGCTGCCTATGGACCTGCGGGACCGCTTCACGGAGATGCGCGAGATGGACCTGCAGGTGCAGAGTAAGTCCGCGCGTTTGCCCTTGTTGGTTGTGCGTGGTCAGTGCCAGACTTGCTTGCCAGCCATGCCATCGCCTCCTGCTCTTTGCCTCTCCGCCGGCTCACTCGCCAGTACCTATGGAGTTATTAAGGAGACCGGCAGTGCCGAATCTTGCCTCTTAGTGCCTCTCCACGCTACTTTCTCCCTTGCTTGATCAAAGGAGGCGGCATTAGGGGGCATTGTTCCCTTCTCGAGTTTGGGACAGTGCAAAAAAAGTTGCTTACCTTCATTGACAGTGCAGATCTGCTTTATTGCACGTCGGCACAAGTGTTGATTTTGACTGCTTTGTTGCAACATGTCAACATGTGTAATTTTGGTAAAGTTTATTCAAAAAATTTCAAGAGCGGAGAACACCTGGAAGCACAGATTATATATGGTTTAGAGACTCTAGTGAACTTGGAATGTCAATTTTTGAAAACTTACACACCCTAGGATACATTCTTAATTGTCAACAGCATGTTTTCCCCCCTCAATTAAACGAGGAAGGGCAGTAAGATTTTGCTGTGAAGTGATAATAAAAATTTTGATTCTTCACTCCTTGAGAGCTTGGTAGTTCAATGACTTACTCCCAAAATTAATCTTCTGCGCTTTCGTATTGTTTGTGAAGTTTCCTTAAACGTTTTATGATTCAGAAAGGTAAACAGTTTGAGCCTTGGCGAGAAGATAAATACTTAAAAGCAAAATTACACTTCAAAATAAAAAACAAAACACTGGGTACTAAATTTATATTCATCATTTTCCGAAAGAACTTTACAAGCCTTCCTTCTTTGTGAAATGAATATATTGTAGCTGTTGCAACTATCTTGAAGAGATACTATATTTAAAACTAAGAATGTGAAATAAATTATAGGATACATAATTAAAATGTGTAATAAAGTAAAACCTTGTTGCCTGTGTGTCTCTTTCGTTTTGAAGAAATGTAGTTAATTAAATTGTTTAATTTTTGTAATGACTGACCTTCATTGTGTATATCCTCAGAATATGTTTTTTAATCCCATGTATCCCAAATATGTTTAGGCCATATATAAAATGTTTCTCCTGCTGCCAGATAGTCTTGTTAAGAAAACGTAAGTGGAGAAAGATCTGGGTTTTGAGATGTGATAGGGAGGAAAAGGATGTCATGGAAAGAGATAAGAGAACCAAACATTCCAGAGAGTGGGGGTTTTTAGGTAACTTTAGGTGCGACCCCCCCCCACTGTCTCTCACAAACTTTCATGCTTAACTATTCATGAATATACTTGTTATTCATGAATATACATTTAGTTATCAGTTTCATGTGGTGTCTGATAAAATGTTATTTGACATGGAATCCACCTTTTATTCAGTGAATTATGGTACAAAAGTATAAATTGTGTTTCTACATCTAGCTCACAAAATCCATTTTAATTTTAATGTGGTTGAAATGGTATGGATTTGCTAAAGTAATATTTTCTACAGGATTGTGCATAGATCTGAATTCATTTTAGGGCTTTACTAACTTACACATTGATCATGATTATGTTATCGCTTCTGAGGGGTTTTCTTTGTAAAATGAGAATCGTGAGGATTAAAAATGATACAGATAAATTAGAAAGGATATATTACACTTTTTCATTATCATTACAATTTATAATTCTCTTGCAATTTGGACAAAGTATACAAATTGCTGTCTCTTTAAAAAGGCGGCTGTTTAAAATAAATAACACTAAAATTAATAGGTATTTTAGATGAACAAAAGTGACTTCTTTGTCAAATGAGTTGGAGATGCTTGTTTAAAGAAGAAAAATCCTTTTAAAAAGTTAACTATAAGACATGTCAAAGTCTTTAAAAAGTTATTATGCGCTGAAACATTCTCAAAGAAGATTTTCCTCAATATATGTAGAAAAAAAAATCCCTTTTATTTTTCATTTTAGGAGATATGGGATGAGATGACTATTCTTGATGCATATTTCAAAAAAAATGTGCAAAATAATCGCTTATTAAGTGACTAAATGATTGTACTTACTGCTTTTACTGATGATACAAGAGGATCGAGTACTAAGTGCCATATCACAAAAAATTAGAATCTTTTTAACACTTTTTCTTATTAAAAGAAACAAGGATTATCTAGTGGTAGTTTCAGTAAGTTCTGTTTTAGCACTTTTGACTGATTAATTACCATTTGCTTTTGTCCCCAGAGATGAACTATTCAAAAATTATGGTATAGAACCTATTTGTTGACTGCTTTGACTATTGAAAAACATTTTGAAATAATGACAACAAAAATAGTGAGTAGGGAAAATTATAGTTTTTTTTTTTTAAATTAAGGTAGTTAAGACATGTATTTCCATAATCAAAGCACGACCTACTTAAGTTACTGGCCAGGTGGGAACATTATGTTTTCAGACATGTTTTTCTTGCCCCAAATCAACGCATGTATTATATTCAGTGTATGAATTTGGTCCTCTAAATATGAAATGTTTTTATCATGTCATAGATGCAATGGATCAATTAGAACAAAGAGTCAGTGAATTCTTTTTGAATGCAAAGAAAAATAAACCGGAGTGGAGAGAAGAGCAAATGGCATCCATCAAAAAAGTATGTTCAACTCTGAATGGTTTATCAGTAAATACTGGAACCTTCTGAGAAAGACATTTTAAAAATGAAATTGTTTTCTTGATAAGAGGTTACTAATGACTCTGGAATTTAATTTATTGTGCTTTAGAGCTTCAATGTAGGTATTTTTAATCATTGAAGTATTTTGATAGTTTAAACAAATTGCTTCATTAATTTATGACTTAATGGAAAGTGAAAAAAGTACACATTTTTTCTTTTACTTGTTTTATTCTATTTAAATGGGTAATTCAAATTGTCTTGTAGAGATCTAATACCATCTTCTAATTTGGGCCACAAAAAGGTGAAAATTAGCTCACTTTGAAGCATATTTATATATATATACACACACACATATATTTAAGTTAGAGTCATGGAAGAACAAAGTCTTAAGAGCGAAAGGGATTCCTAAGGAATGTTTTAGTTTGAAAATCTAAATTTGTACATAATTTAGGCCTAAAAATATAGAATACTTTGAGTTTTTATGAGTATTATGGAACTTACAGCTTTCTTCCAGATTAGAATGGGTTTTACCTCTCCCCATAAGGTTTGCTTAAAGGTATGATCTAGGTTATTTGGGGATACATTGCAAGAACTACTTGAAAGTGGTCATGTCTGCCGCTTTCTGTGTTAACACTGGATATTCTTTAGTATCTCTGAGTAGTGATGGTTCTCATCTCCTACCTCCATAGAATTGTTGAAGGACCAACTCTGAAAGAAATTTGAAATATGTAGAGTAGTTGTATTATTTATTTTAATACATAGGGAGATTCTTTTTTTTTTTTAAGGATTTATTTATTTATGCGTATGGAACTGACAGGCCAGAGATGCGGAGGGTGAGAGGATCCACCAGAGACAGAGTGGGGAACAGAATAGGCAGATTGACTGAAACACAATGCTGAGGGGAGCAGTGGGCGAGACAGGAGAGGTCTGCCTCACCATGTGGGTTTCTCCCTGGCTGGCCGGGGATCGAACTCGTGCTGCAGAGGCTGCAGATTGCTTCACAGTGCGGTGCTTAACCCCTTGTGCCACCAGGGAGTCCCCATAGGGAGATTATTTATATTAAGGAGTAGAAAATTCAAGATCTGTAGCAGAATTAGTCCTGCCTTAGAAGATACCTGGAGATCCAGAGGAGCTGAGTTTAGACATTGCATATATGCACGCCAAAGTCACTTCTTTAACCTATTATGTTTTTGATGTGGCACAGCTTGGATATGCTCTGAAAATTCTGGTATTCCATGGAAATTCATAGGATCCTTTTGTTTGTTTTTAAGTGCTTTGTTTTAAACTGAGGAGATTGAGTTGTATGAATTGATAGCTATGTTAAAATGAGGGTTAAAGAGCAATTTTGGAAACTAGTAACATGCAGGTCAGAATCCTTTTAGTAGTTACATCGTTATAAAAACAAGTTTTAAAAATAAAGGGTATAAGAGTTCTTTATACATTAGATAAATCTTAACCTATTTTTCTAAAGAAAAACTATTATCTCATGACTTTTAGTAGTGTACAGACTAGATGTACACTAGTACTTGTTTTGGGCATCCCTGATGGTGCAGGCAGTTGAGTGCAGTGCTGTGAAGCTGTCCACAGCCTCTGCAGTGCGGATTCGATCCCGCCAGCCGGCGAGAATCCCACATGGTGAAGCAGACCTCTCCTGTCTCGCCTGCTGCTCCCCTCAACAGTGTATTTCGTCAGTCTGCCTGTTCTGTTCCCTGCTCTTTTTCTGGTGAATCCTCTCACCCTCCTGTGCATCTGGCCTGTACCCCGGTTCTTGTATAAAAATAAATATTAAAAAAAAAAAAAGAATGGTACTTGTTTTTACTTAAATCATTTCTAGGAATTCAGAACCTTTTCCTTTAATTCTTTGCTGTTTTTCCATAGTTTATAATTCTATCTCATGTCCACCTTAAAAACCCTAACTGGGTTTTTAATGCTAATGTAGGATGACTGACAGTGATAACAGGTATGGTAAAACTGTTGTTATATGTCCTGGATACAAATAATTAAAATTTTTTCACTTATTCTTGCAATGAAAATGTTTTTCTCCAGGACTACATTAAAGCTTTGGAAGATGCAGATGAGAAGGTACAGTTGGCAAACCAGATATATGACTTGGTAAGTAAATTTAATGTGCATATTATGCTATAAGTACTTGTATTATGGATTGTGTTGTAAATTTTATTGACTTGAATGTCATAGGAGGAACAGACTAAAACTGAAGTATTGGTCTCTTGACTCCATTTATTTATTTTATTTTATTTTATTTTTTTTGTTAAAATAGCTGTCATTTATTTGTTTAATTCTAGTTGGTTTCTTCTTTTTTTTAAAATAAATTTTATTTTTATATTCCCCATACAATTGCAACCCCCTTATTTTGACCCCAATCCCTCCCCTCCCTGCCCCTCAACCCCCATAGAATGTCTCTGGTTCATAGTTGTTTGTTGATTTTGATTTTCACTTTCTTACAGTTATTCATTTTCCTGGTCCCTTATTTAAGTTTTCTAGATTCCTGCTATGAGTGAGACCATCCGGTATTTTTCTTTTTCTTTCTGGCTTATTTCGCTGAGCATGATCCCTTCCAGCTCCATCCATGTTGCTGCAAATTGCATGTGTTTATCTTTTTTGAATGCTGAGTAATATTCCATGGTATATATGTACCACATCTTCTTGATCCAGTCATCTATTTTTGGGCATTTGGGTTGTTTCCAAAGCTTAGCTATTGTAAACAGGGCTGCTATAAACATAAGGGTGGAGGTGCTCTTTGGAATTGATGTTTCTGTGTCCTTTGGGTAAATACCTAGGAGTGGAATTGCTGGATCATATGGAAGCTCTATGTTCAATAGGTCCAGAAATCTCCACACAGCTCTCCATAGTGGTTGGACCAGTTTGCACTCCCACCAACAGTGCAGGGGAGTTCCTTTTTCTCCACATCCTCACCAACATTTGTTGTTGCTAGTTTTTTTAATATGTGCCATTCTCACTGGTGTAAAATGGTATCTCATGGTAGTTTTGATTTGCATTTCCCTGATTACAGGTGATGTTGAACATTTTTTCATATGCCTGTTGGCCATTTGCATTTCCTCTTCAGAGAAGTTTCTTTTTAGCTCTTCTGCCTATTTTTTGACAGGATTATTTTCTTTGTTGTTGTTGAGTCTCATCAGCTCTTTGCAGATTTTTGTGATCAGTCCTTTATCATTAGTGTTGTGTGCAAAAATGTTCTCCCGGTGGGTGGGGTTTCTCTTTGTTTTTGTTATTGTCTCTTTTGCTGTGCAGAAGCTCTTTAATTTGATGTAGTCCCAGCTGTTTATCTTTGCCTTCACTATCACTGCTTTGGGTGATGTGTCTGTAAAGATGTCTTTGATGTGCATATCACGTAGTATTTCGCCTATATTTCCTTCTATGTATTTTATGGTTTCAGGTCTTATGTCTAGTTCTTTAATCCATTTTGAGTTGATTTTTGTGTAGTGTGAGGTAGTGGTCAAGCTTCATTCTTTTGCATGTAGCGACCCAGTTTTCCCAGCACCATTTATTGAACAAACTTTCTTTGCTCCAATGCATATTCTTTGCTCCTTTGTCTTGACTCCATTTAATGAGAGTTCAGTGTCTACTTTTTTGGTTCCTTTGTGGAGGAGAGTCAGAGAGTAGTTGTTAATACGTCAGGAACTGTACATTTTAGTCAGGAACTGTATATTTTAGTCAAGTCTGCATGGCTGTAAGATTGTAACTGATGTTAGATTTTTTTTTTTTTGAGAAAAATTGGTGTTTAACTTTATTTTACTAATATCTAAAGGTAGTATATTTACTTGCCTGTTAAATCATCTAGAAATTGTTTTTGTAGTAAAACACATAAGAATACTATGTTGACAAGTGTTCTGGGTAGTCTGACTAAAATGAAGAAGAGAATCATTTGAATCAGTGTTATGGACGGTATTCACCTATTAAGTGATGTTACTAGCTACTACTCAACAACTAGCTCAGGTGGCAAAAATGTTTGGGAAACACAAGGAAAAATAAATGTTTAAAATAGTTCTTTTTTGCAGCCGCAACAGTTCATAAAGATTGAGATCACCAGGAAGATAGCTAAATGCAGTGCTGCTTAAATTGTTGTAATTATGGTACTGTTTTTTATGTACAGCATCTTCTAAACTATATGCCTTATGAAATCCTCGTTTCTGGTTTTACCTCAAAGCAAATTAAAGCTCAAAATAAATACTTACTCTTAGTTAATTTTAGCATATAGTTTTGATACCCTTTTTTTTTGTAGTCTTGTCTGGATATAATTTTATTACTGAACATGTAAATATAAATGGCGCTGATGAGCAAGACTCGAGGATCCATGCTGCAGGTCGAGGGTCCATGCTGCATGTGTGCATTGGAAATGCTGTACTAAATTAACAGACTTTTGTCATGGCAAGTTATCGAAAATATTCAGTGTTTTTTAATATGGAGGAATATTTTAATGGCTGTAATAATCCTAGGTTCTTTTTTTTATGTAGTTATTCTGAAAACAGTTTCATATAAGACACTGCCTAAAGAAAGTTAGAGTAGGTTGTTGCCTGCTTATTGTGAAATGGTGGGGGGGAACAGTTCTTCATTGTTTTGGACATGAATTACATCTACATACAGAAAAAGACATTTTTTTGAGCCTGATGTTAAGAATCCTATGCTCTACCGTCTGACTAGAAGGCATTTATTTGAATCTAGGACTATTTAGTTTAGTAATATTCTTTCTCACATTTAATGACCGTGTCTATCTTTACTTAAAGACTACCATTACTTTTAAAATAAAACACTCTTTGTTTCAATTCTTTGTTTATATTTTATTTTGAACATTTTGCATCTTTTTAAAAATACCTATTTAAAAATATATATAAGTAGCTTAAATATAGAGTTTTTTAATATGTGTGTTTGTGTGTGTATCCATTTATCCTGTGCCACACTGTACATCCACTCTGCTTGGTATAATGGAGTTGTACAGAGGTATAAGGGAGGAATAAAAAGTAAATACTACATGGTTTCTGTTCTCAATGTGTGTGAAAACAAGTTGCAAAGACTTGCCCCCTAGGTAAAGAGCCTGGGTGGAAACATGTAACAAATAGAGATGAATGCATTTGAGCATTAAGGGGTGTTCAGTAGAAGACCAAACAAAGTCATGCAGCGTCATTGTTGAATTCTTTGAGGATATGAGTTGAATTTTGAACAAAATTTATTCATAGGTTCAGCGACCTGGGCTACGTACTGCATTGAGGGGAAAACATTTCACTTAGAGATAATGGGTAAATAGAATGGAAGTATAAATTAGTAAAATCTTTGAGGAGAATAGGTTTCTTAGGTTAGAAAGTGAAGTAATAAAAGGTGATGTAATAAAATGTAATTAAAAAAACAAGTATCCATAATGAACAGACACTTCACTGATAATTGGAATTGGAAGTTATTTAATCTTGGAACCTCAGTCTTCCTTCATCTTGTAAAATAGCAGTATTTGTATCTTACAGGAGGATTTGAATCTCTCTCTCTGACACCCCCACACTCCTAGACAGATCTATTTCTGTATCTTTTTTTCTATCTTTTTTTCTACTTGTGCGTGCACACGCAATGTTCTTAGCTTGGCAGATAGAGGCACTTAGTCCTTTCAAGTCTCACACCTTGTCATTTTTCTAACCATAGTTTTATACTTTCCTGAAACAACTGTTTCCCTTTCTGCTCTGCCAAGTAATACTTGGGGCTCCGCCCCCCCCCCATTCCTCCACTCTTATTAAGATTATCTTTCTATCTTGACTCTTTTCTCTCTCCTTTCCTTGCCTCCTTTCTCATGCCCTGCCCCTTTTCTTCTGCTACTTTCTTCCCCAGCAGTCCTTGCCCTCCTCTTTTGACTACTTTGTTGCTGTTTATTTCAGCAATCATGATAGCCTCAATATATAAAGCCATTCTTCTTTGAGACTTAATGATGTTATTAGCTTCCATCTTTGGAGCCCTTCTCAATCTCCCTGGATTCCACTCAGAGTGGATGCTGATCCTCTGGGTTCTGTCCTTGGCCTGTGTTGTTTCTTAGTCTATTCAAGTGATTCTCACATGGAGGGTCCTCTCTTCCTTCTTCTGCCCCAGCTCCAACCAGGAAGACCAAAGCCACATGGTAAAGAATTGTTCTGTCAAATTCCAGTTTTATACTACTCTCCCCACACACATCACCCAGTTGAGAAACATTCTTCCATGACTTTCTCATATGTTCTCCTTGCTTTTAACTATTTTTTACATTATTCTTAAAGCTCAGACTTCTCTGAATTGACTCATCTTTTCTGAGATTAGCCAGGACCTTGAACTCAGCATATTACAATGTAAGTCTTACCCTCTCCTTTTTTTTTTCTCTCATTCTTCACCACTCCCCTCTCCGCCTTATACATACTTTTTTTTTCTTAGTCTCAGCAGAACCACTGACCATCCTTTACCTGTGATGCTGAAAATCACCCTAGACTCCTCCTTGTTCCTATCTTCCTCCTTGTTCCTATTTAATCAATAGATCTTGCTCATTTTACCTCCTAAGAAGTTCTCATCCTTCCTCTGTACTTTTCTCCATCTTTTATAACCCTCTTTATTAAAATTGCCTCTTTATTGCCTCTTTATTAAAATAATCTCAGTCTTGATATTTATGCAGTTATGTCTAGGAGAAGGGATATGACAGCTAAAAACAAACCACAAAAGAGTGATTTAAACAAAAGTATTTTCCTCTCTGTAAAATACTGTTAGAGGAAACAGATCAGGGCTCTTTGGCAACTCCAGCCTTATCAGTGTCCCAGGCTGCTGCTTATCCATGCTCCTCCTTTGCTGGTTAGGAAGGAGAAGAATTGCAGTCAAGGATTACTCAAAAGGATATCATGCAGTTCTGTCAGCTGTTTTAAAGAGACTTTCTAGAACTCTCCTGACTTCTGCTTATTTTTAATTGCCCTTTATAGCTGCAAGGGAGGCCGAGAAATGTTGTTCAATAGGTCGCATTCCCATCCACGACATGTGGGGCTTTGTCAGTAAGGAAGGAGAGGGGGTATGACGTAGGTAATTAGTGGTTTGTTCCTTACCCTACCCCTCAGTAGAATCTTCCCTACTATAAATATCAACAATTG